CCTGCCCAGCCGCGGCCTCCCTCAGTCTGTAGCTCCCACCTCCGGTGCCCGTTGAGTCGGGGGGTTTTCGTGGCTTCGGCGGGGAGGGGCGCGCACCGGTGCCCGTTGAGTCGGGTGATTTACGTGGCTTCGGCGGGAAGGAGCTGGTATCGTAGCCCCGGTGGAGTCAGGAGTCGCGTGTTGCGCTCGTGAAAGGTTGTGTAGAAAGACTGAACGTCATTTGTGTGATAACTATGGTGCTTCTTCGAGTTGAAGATGCCTGCCTGTAGGAGGTCACAGATCCGCTGGGGAGATGAGTGATCAAATACGACCTGACGTAGGGAAAAGTCAAAGGACCCATCCAGAGGGGATGGTGTTGATGTCAGTCTGACGGTCAGCAGTGTGTGCCTAGTGCTGCTCTTCAGGATGAATAAGAAGAAAGGAGACAAGGGATTTGAAAGCCCAAGGCCATATAAATTATAAGTATCAATACTTTTGTTTGTTTGTTTAAGTGTATTTGAGACCAGTGCACATTGAAATAGACCACAGGCTGGTCAATAATTATTTGCCTGAGAAAGCTGTAACTACTGCTTATGATGTAGCTAGAAAATATGTTTTGTTGGTGTATGTTTTATTGTGTAAACAGACTCACTCCTGGACAGTGAGTCTATCCACCGTGCAACTTCCTGTTACAAATATATGTTTTTATATATTTTGTGCTTTTCAAACCTCGGACATCTCTCCGCACAGTATCAGCACTATAGACCATGCTACCATGTTACATTCTTACCTGCCAAACCCTTTTGACTCAAGGGCTTTTTTTATCTATAAAGATATGCTTGTGTTTGCAACAGCTAGCTTTGTTAACTAAATAATTTTTACACATTAATTATTTTGGTTGTAACCAAGCTGTAAAACAGTTGGTTGTGGATCTCAGTGTTTATACTAATTTGATTTCTTGATAAATCTGTAACACAAATGTATTTCTAAGTAGAATCACTCTTTGTTGTCATATACATTTTCATGTGGAGGTAATGTTTAAATCTATAATTGGATACAAGATATTATAATTCTCTTGTAGGAATTTTTCTTGAACTTGTTCAGCACAGTCACTTTTTAATGCACAGGGTATGGGAGTATGTGCATATAATGTATGATGTGAAATAGAAGTTGAATTATAATAAGGCTGTGTCTTGGGAATTAAATACCTCTGCTGTGAAGTGTGCTGAAGATGCCACGTGCTACTGAAAAAATACATAAATGGTTTTAAAAGGTTTTTTTTTAAGTCAAAATTATTTTTCCTTTAATTTTTTTATATCAGAGCTGTTTACCAGGTGTTCTGACACATCATTCAGAAGTTAAGCAAATGCATTTGACTTGTTTAAAATCCTCATCTTGATTGATATTTTATCATTACTTAAAATAATACATTTTTTGAGATAGTAACTGTAAAAGCACATGCTGTTATTTTTTTTTCATGTATAGTACCTGCTCACATAAATTATGTAGGAGTGTGAACTTGCCAGGTGAATATCCCCAGGTCTCTGGTTGCAGATACTACAGCTGCATCCCAGTTCTAATACTGCACAACACTGAAGTGTTAGAACTTGATTCTGTACCATCAGCAATACTGTGTTCTTACATGCTGATACTTTGTGTTCAAAAGTGATGTTGCCTTCAAAAGTGATGTTGCCTTCTGATGTTACTAGTAATTTTCATACTGATGTGATTCTATACTTCTGTTCTTATTGGGACCTTTCTTGTGTGCAACTTGCATTCATTATTTGTTTTAGACCATGTAAGAAGAGAGTTAGACGATTTAGAACTCTCCTTATATAAATATGTGCCCTCTGCAGTATTTATTTATATTTACATATATCCTGGATGAGCTCTCTATTTATTTTTTTAAATTGGGTTAAATTATCGTTATAAATGCTAGAATTTGTCCCAATTCTTACTTATTCTAATTATTATTTTTTCCAGCACAACTCACCAGGTAGTTTGCATCAACAACATCAATTTTCAGAGAAAGTCTGTTGTAGTAAGTATTTTTTAATAAACTGTGAAAGTAAAAATGAAAAGTCTGGGCTTTCTTCATGCTCGTAGGGGGAACGACTGCACACAAGGATGTTCCTTGACTTCTTTATGTTCTATACTTTCTAATCTTTTGCCTCTCATAAGTCTGCCATTTCTTGAGATGCCTCAAAATACATTATCATTGTGAATATTTTGATTTCTCTAGGGAAGAGCTTTCTAAAAGAAAATCACTGCATTGTAAATAATATTACAAAGCAATTTGCAATTAAAAACTGACCTTCATCGCAGTATTAGCTGATGTCAGGCAGAGGGTTATAGAGTTTTCCAGTATATATCTGTTACTTTCACTGGGACTTAGAAGAGAAGAAGACTTTCATTATTTCAGGCCTGAAGTCATTGAGTCTTTTTGTGAATTTAGATATCTACCTGAATGAGTTCTGCTTAGGTTTTAAAAATCATTGTCTCAACCTCA